AGTGTTTATCGACTTAATAGACATCCCTAATGCTAGTGTTTATCGACTTAATAGACATCCTTAGTGCTAGTGTTTATCGACTTAATAGACATCCCTAGTGCTAGTGTTTATCGACTTAATAGGCATCCTTAGTGCTAGTGTTTATCGACTTAATAGACATCCCTAGTGCTAGTGTTTATCTACTTAATAGACATCCCTAGTGCTAGTGTTTATCTACTTAATAGACATCCCTAGTGCTAGTGTTTATCGACTTAATAGACATCCCTAGTGCTAGTGTTTATCGACTTAATAGACATCCCTAGGGCTAGTGTTAATCAACTTAATAGACATCCCTAGTGCTAGTGTTTATCTACTTAATAGACATCCCTAGTGCTAGTGTTAATCGACTTAATAGACATCCCTAGTGCTAGTGTTTATCGACTTAATAGACATCCCTAGTGCTAGTGTTTCTCTACTTAGTAGACATCCCTAGTGCTAGTGTTTATCGACTTAATAGATACCATAGTATTGGTGTTTATCAACCTATTTACTTCTACTTCATCAACGACACCCGCCATGTTAATCTTGGACAATCCAAGAAAGTAATTTACCTTTCGACGTGAGAACAAGGTAAAACATTACGGTATGCTGTCATACAATACGATAGAGATGTCTCTGGAAGGGAGATAATGCATACAATACGATAGACAGGTTTCTGCAAGGGAAATAATGCAGTCATGCAATTATTTGATAAACAATGAGCACAGATTGAAAATAACGTTCCGTGTTTCAACATTCAGGAACAGCTGACTAAGCCAATATAAGGTAGACCTAGGAACGAGATATTTGTATACCCTATAAATACTCATGTAATTATCTACAGAGCAATTTATAGTTATTATATAATTGAATCTTGAATCATGATTATTAACATTAAATATATGTTTGTAACTTGTTTATATACTATTTAGTTTTCTTAGATAATTTATAAGTTGTTAAGGTTGTATATGGTTTTGATGTATACAACAGAAAAGTTCAATACAGAATGAAGAAGAGGAAAAACTGTATCAGTTTTAAAGTTTGGTGCGAACAACAAGTGAATTTAAGTAAGAAAATGAAGACACAAATGTTTTACAACTTTGTTGAATAAACTAAAATTGTATCCATGTACTTCGTTTTGCCTTGACTGCTTACGATTAGGACTTATAACAAACAAAAACGTTAAACATTAAAAAAAAATGTGAAAAAAATATACATAATTAATCGTTATATTATGAGTTAGGCATTGATTCCTTGGACCTAGAATGTCTGAACTCTGCTTTAGCAAGTTCCATAAGTCAGCGAAGTTCGCTGCAAGTTATGTTTCTACATATCAGGTTGGTTATACCTGGTTATATAGTAGGTAGAATATTCTCATTCCATGGATCAACTTGAAAATGTAATATCACAACTATACAAAATCATATCACATGGCATTGTCTCCTAACTGTACTGGATAATTCTACACAGAATGATACTTGATATTAGGAGTTTCTGTGTATTAGACGAAATATCCTGATATAGGGAAGGTCAACAGTATGCATGTTCTTGAACCTATTCGCCCCTGTTAAACCAACATTGTTATGAGTATGAAAGGTACAACGAACTGAAAAGTTGGTTTGTGTAGAATAGTTGATGAGTCCAATTTACTTATATACACGTCAAACTGCAAACTTGATAAACCATGTTATCCGTAATAGTCTTGTCCATTCTGGATAGCAACATACCTGCATACCCAACCTATAGTGTTAATATGTGGATTCGATATTCAAGGACATGTCCTCGTAACACAGAGTTTTAACATATTGATTTTTGCCACTATCCAGACCAAGCTAAGTTAGTTAAAGCAGAGTTTGTAATTCGTTGAACTGATTTAGAATTTAGATTTACAATATGTGTTTAGATTACAATATTTACTGGTTGAGTTCATTATCCTAAACCCAAATTCTAACTAAAACTTTGTAAGTGAAATTAATATAATATAGGAAGACATGTTCGGATATTTTATTCCAGTTAGCCGACTGTTGTTTGACAGTTATCTTCAATGCGCCTTGTCGTTGTACAGCTATTGTTAAATTACTTGTGTAGTTCAGTCAAAAATCCTTTTGTCACTCCTTACCGTTGAAGTTAATGTTGTTTACTGGATCAGTTGTATTTAGATCAGTTTAAATTTAACGATATCAAAATAGAAACAAATTATTCATTGTAGATATCAATTCAAACGAAGGGAAGTAAATCCTATACACTTGGAATAAGAATATCTCCCCCAAAACATACAATTTGGAAATCTGGCAACACCCACACAATCGACTTATGCAACACAAATTTGTTTTCTGGAAGTTTGTGACGTAAGTTTTCTCTGGAATACGTATTGATCATCCGATAAACCCCGAATAATGAATGGATACTTACCATACTTCTATTCCAGGACTTGTCAAGCCAAGGACTACAATTTTGAATGCATGAATGCGACAATGGAATTCACAACTGTTTGGAAGAAATGTCAAAGATTTGGTGGTGGTGTTGGTGGTGGTGAGGATGGGGTGGTTGATCTCGCGACATCTTTAGTGATTAGTGATAGAATCCGCGTTTTTCCACATCTATTCATAATGTAATTTGTTGTGACGTTATCGAATTTTGACATGCTTGCAGATTTGATCGATGGAAAAGTTTTCACCTCTATCCTTATCATAGCATTATATACATTTATATGTTTAAGAGAAACACAACAGGAAAATAAACATTTCAGCACAATCATAACCAATTCCAAGTGAGAAATGTTACGTTTTTCAAATGAGATCAAGGTAACAACAACGGAACACACAGGCAAACTAACGAGCATTATACACGTCCAGTTTCGTATCGCACAAATGACATATTTCTCAATAAGACCACAATAACGATCGTAAAACTTCCTATGAATTTTCACCAACCTGCTCCTTTTGAAACCTGCGATACAAGGGTGTCGTAAGAATACGACTTCTTGCACAAACACCGTGATAAACAGAGCAGGCCCTTGAATATCGTATCAACTGCAACATGTAAACACCATAGGTTGGGGTGCAATGATGTTGCTATCAAGAAATGGAAAATTAGCAATAGGGAAATTGAAATCATCAATCTTGGCGTACAGGAAAAGATCGAGATAAAAGGCTGATGTAGAACAGTCTGTCGTGTCATTGATTGCCAATTCTGGTCGGTAGCTAATGCACACAAAAGCTTACGTAAAATTCGTTCTCGAATAACTTTGAACGAAATCAAACTTGTACAGGTTGTTGAAGAGCATAGTTAATGTGCGAAAAAGTCATTTAAATAATTAATGAATTCATTGTTGTAAGTAATCGGTAAATGAAGTTCCCCACAAAAAACCTTTCCTTAGTCAGAAGGTCAAATTCTATATAATGCAAGGCTTTGTTTGAAAACTATAAATAATATCCTTCTTTCCTTTACAATTGATTGCTGTATTATGAGGGTGAAGTAAAAATACCAATGTTTGAAACTGAAGTACAACACAGCGCTCAAGAACAATCGCACTTCAAGCAAAATCAATACTTTGTCAGTCAGGTTATATAGTGTACCGATTATATTAGTGCAACTGTCCTTATAATCCCAGCTACTTTAATGGGATCGTCTAGTGGTGTGATGAAGATTCGGATAGCTTCAGTGTAACATCTTGAGACTTTGCAGTGTAAATAGTTAGGCCTTGTTATTTTGAACTCGGTGGGACTTCGAAATAACAGAGTATTAAATTTATGTAAACTCGAATGTTTTGTGTAAAGTTCGGCAGTGATTGACAAAATACTACGAATTAAACGGTCTTCGAGTTGAACGAGTTCGAGATAACGAGGTTCGACTGTACTATATCTGGAATCAAACACCATTCTGGCTTATTTATATGGCGGCATTCTCGTGTTAATGAAAACTGTGTATCGTGTAACCTAAACCATTCCTAAAAACACTAACAGTAACGAGGGCAGTCAGAGATGGGATATGCTCCCCTAATGGAACAAAAGTGAAGTGTGAAAAGTAACAAAGGGCAATAAAAGCGTACAGATTCTTATAGTTTTTAGTGTTATGCTCCAGACAAAACTATGACGGTCGGACTACGGACGTAGAGCGATTTAAATGGTCCACCATCTGGTGATGATGGGCTATTCAAATCGCCCTACGTTCGTTAACAATTTTTGTTATCACTATGCCTTGATAAGTACTGGATGGATCTCTCTCAAATTTCCTATTTGTCTTACCTTTGATCCCTAGTTGTGCCAGTTTAATTTTTTGTCTGACCGGAAAAACAAACTGGCCGACAGGAAGCCATCTTGGATTTAACTTTGAAAGTTTGTTATCGCTATTTCTTGAGAACTACAACATAGATCTTTCTCAAATTTTATGTGTATGTTTCCAAATTGTGCTTGTTTGATTTTAGTACTGATCAGAAACAGAAACTGGCCAACAGACGGTCATCTTGGATTTAACTTTGAAAGTTTGTTATCACTGTTGCTTGAGAACTGCTACATTGATCTTTCTCAAATTTCATGTATAGATTCCTCTTTGTCCTTAGTTGTGCTTGTTCTAGTTTCGGACTGATCAGAAAAACAAAATGGCCGACAGACAGCCTATTACTTCATTTTCATATTCTATTATACTAAAGTGTATTTTTCTCACAAACTATACATATATCAGTTTCCCTACCTAGAAATATTTGGTAATATGTTTCTCTATGGCTTCGTTTTCACCACCCACCCCCACCTTGTTTTTTGCTACCAAAAACAAACAGACAGGGCAGTGTATGTAACCATGATGAAGAGTTCCATACACTTGTAAAGTCATTATAAGGATATGAACTTCTAAACATAACATTGATTATCCTCATACAATATGAGACAAGACAAAGTCTGTTATTGACAGATAAGGAGGCTACAGTAGTAACAATACCCCTAACATCAATTTACACTGTATTCTCTAATGCACAAAACAACCACTTGTATTTTTGTAATGGTTTATTTGATATGCACAGCATATTCCTTTGTCAAAAATTCAAATATGGTAGTACATGTACAATATTTCATATACATATTCACTTTTGTTTTTTTTAATCTAGTAGATTTCTTCAATATGATATCGATTTGTGAAATACTCAATAAACAATGCTTTCTGATGTTTAGAAGGACTTGCCCTTATCTCCAACTTGCCTGGCACTTAAAACAAAACTTTCTCTGATGTAAGAAAGAAAACATTGACAAAACTTACGATTTTCTTCCCAAAGATATCTATTGTGACATCATAGAACTTGTCACCTGGTAGTTATACATGTAAAATCTAAGATTACTTTAAAAACATGTCCCATTTTAGTTCCAGAACTATTGACTATTAGATATTTGTTCTAGAATTTCCCAATCTCTCAAGAAGTATACTTCATATTGCCATGCTATGGATGATACTTGAATGTCTCTAAAAGTTGTTCTCCAGAAATAGGGAGATGTCTTTATCTACAAGGCTGGAAACTTCTCCAGAAATAGGGAGATATCTTTATCTACAAGGCTGGAAACTTCTCCAGAAATAGGGAAATATCTTTATCTACAAGGCTGGAAACTTCTCCAGAAATAGGGAGATATCTTTATCTACAAGGCTGGAAACTTCTCCAGAAATAGGGAGATATCTTTATCTACAAGGCTGGAAACTTCTCCAGAAATAGGGAGATGTCTTTATCTACAAGGCTGGAAACTTCTCTAGAAATAGGGAGATATATTTATCTACATATGTATAGCCTTCTTTGCTTTATCAACTTCAGCTACCTCTCAAGTGAAATTTAATTTCACCATTCAAATTTGATGAACCAACAAACAAACAACAGTTTTGTCTTTTGCTCCATATATCCTCAGCTTTCTCCGTCTTTAGGGGTGGACCTCTCCTAAAAACATATCCTTCAAAACTTTCTTCCTCTGTAGATCAGTCTTAAAATCCTCAGAACGTGACTTTGGTGTGAACCTTTTTGAAGGCGCGTGAAATTCTCCATGAGTTAGCCTCCTCGTACTTGTTGTACAGTGGTTCAATCTTCTGCTGTTTCTTATGCTTGCTCAATCTTGTTGGGTCAGAGAATCGGAAGAATTTGGGAGCAAATTCCACCAACCATTTAGGATCAATGGTTGTGACTTCACGCATATATTCCTTTGTCGTCAGCACCAGTTCATGGTATATCACCCTTGGAACAATAAAACAGCTAAATTACTAAATACTGACAATTAATCATATTGTTTTATACAGAATTTCTTATCTTGATTTCCTCATCAATGAAATGATCGTTCCACCCACTAACCAGCAAGGATTTCTCAAATCAAAGCACTGATTCAGATTTAAACACTAAATCAAAATTGAAAGAAATGTTTTGAATCTTAAATTCTAATATATAAGAACATGAGTGTCGATGCTAGAGGAAATAGATTACAAACAAATGAAGAATATCTATCAATGTAATTATGACATCAAAATCATTTATCAAGAAACGATATTAACAGGTCAACAAAATCATCATTCACCATAAATATTTATGAAATAAGGGGGAAGTAGGTACAAAAAAGGGATTTTCATGCTCAAAAAGACCAGCTTACAATACTCACCAGTCAGGTTGTCTGTTAAACAGAGCACTAGATGGGTGTTTGTAGACCACCAGCTTACAATACTCACCAGTCAGGTTGTCTGTTAAACAGAGCACTAGATGGGTGTATGTAGACCACCAGCTTACAATACTCACCAGTCAGGTTGTCTGATAAACAGAGCACTAGATGGGTGTATGTAGACCACCAGCTTACAATACTCACCAGTCAGGTTGTCTGTTAAACAGAGCACTAGATGGGTGTATGTAGCTTACAATACTCACCAGTCAGGTTGTCTGTTAAACAGAGCACTAGATGGGTGTATGTAGACCACCAGCTTACAATACTCACCAGTCAGGTTGTCTGTTAAACAGAGCACTAGATGGGTGTATGTAAACAGAGCACTAGATGGGTGTATGTAGACCACCAGCTTACAATACTCACCAGTCAGGTTGTCTGATAAACAGAGCACTAGATGGGTGTATGTAGACCACCAGCTTACAATACTCACCAGTCAGGTTGTCTGTTAAACAGAGCACTAGATGGGTGTATGTAGACCACTAGATGGGTGTATGTAGACCACCAGCTTACAATACTCACCAGACAGGTTGTCTGATAAACAGAGCACTAGATGGGTGTATGTAGACCACCAGCTTACATGTCATACTCACCAGTCTAAACAGAGCACTAGATGGGTGTATGTAGACCACCAGCTTACAATACTCACCAGTCAGGTTGTCTGTTAAACAGAGCACTAGATGGGTGTATGTAGACCACCAGCTTACAATACTCACCAGTCAGGTTGTCTGTTAAACAGAGCACTAGATGGGTGTATGTAGACCACCAGCTTACAATACTCACCAGTCAGGTTGTCTGTTAAACAGAGCACTAGATGGGTGTATGTAGACCACCTGACTATCAACCAGGGTCCTGTAGCCTTCCTGAGGGTCTTTCTTTGCAGCATTCCTGAAGAACCCACTGCAGATTGCCTTCTGTACTCGAGCTGTGTTCTTCCCGCAGCTGACCACATCAAGCTTATGTCTGGTGGAGCATTAAAATATGTTTACGTTATATAAATGAAGCAACAAAAAGAATGTAATTCCTGTGATCAAAAGAAAACAAAAAACAAAAAAAAAAACAAAAAAAAAAAAAACAAAACAAAATTCTGACCAAATTAGGACAAAATCCAACAATATACATCCCCTTCCTAAGGGAACCCAAAACCCATGATTTACAAAATATTTATTTCCCTCTTTGCAAGAATAACTTGGTCCAGATTGGGTAAAATCCAATCATTGTTACTGAAGTAGAATTTTAAAGAATTTGTTTTATTTTCCCTTTTGAGCCCCGTCCAAGGGGGCCGAGATCCACCATTTCAGAGTTCCCAATGAGATTAATCAAACAAATCTAAGAACTTCTAATTTCATCAAACCTTGTGTCATTTTAGAAGTCACTTCGGCTCTAGTTTCAATTCTAGTGACTTGATAACATGTTTGACAAATTACCAAAGTCATACCACTGTCATCCCCAGGTGTCACAATTCTAGGGACTTCATAATCACAAGTGGCATACACAAAAATAACATGGGTCCATGCACCGAATAACATGACAATCATGTGTTAAGGCATTATTGTTACATACATCTCATTTGTAATACAATAACTATATTAAGAATTTTACTGTGGAATCAATACTTTCCTAAGAAACAAATTTTATGATTTTCAAACCAAATTCAATTTGACACTTGATTTTGTGAGTAAATTTCATAAAATCCACTTATACTAAAATGAATTCCTATTCTGAATACCTTCTCATTCATTGGATATAAGAATGCATTTAACACGACTGATGACACTAAGGGAGTAGTATATGACTGGGTAGATGGAAACAATTTGAAATGTTTAAATTTTACTGACATTGAAAAGGGAGGTAATGCATATTCAACCTCTTCTTACACATCAAAATTCTCAAAAAAGATTCAACAACTTTGACACCGTATAAAGCAAACAATCAAATGATAAATAGCACATACCTGTCCATGATGCCAAGCATCTGTTTGCGGACGTCCTGTGCCCGCTTAAGCGTACGAATCTGGACAAAGTTGTCATAACACCACGGACTAGAGAAGCGGTTGTTTTTCCATGAGTTGTAGACAGACAGAAGAGTCAGATGGTCGCCTTCTGACTGGTGAAACTTGGCCTTTTTCTGATCAGCTATTGCCTGCTTGTCCTGTAAATTACAATATTGTAACAAAAAAAACATTACCAGGTATTTGTTTTCTCCTTCAAACAACGCTTGAAAAAAAAAATACTTACAAGCAGTTATAACAATGTTATAGTTGGTGTTACTCACATCTGGTATCCACATCACTAATGGCCTGGTCCTTTACAAAGACATACTGACTTATTGGCATTTTATATGTAGCATTTCTGGTATTTGTGACAAATCTTTGAATAAATACAGCCTGAAAAGGCTTTATCCATACCACAAAAAGAAAATTAATGAAACAAGGCCAAAATATGAACAACAGAAAGATTCACACAGAGACTTCAAAAAAAGTGTCAGAGAATATAAAACAACAGGGTCCAAAAGGCTTAATCAACGACATCCATCTTGTAAATCTTGGTCCATCGAAGTATGTAGTGTCACATCTCCAAATATGATTACGGTAACAACGACAGAACCAGCAGGACAAAAAGTAAAACAGCCCATTTGATCTTTCCTTATTTCATCAATATGTGAATGAGTCCTGCACTAAAGTTACCCAATACTGGGTTTGTATATTTCTGCAAATTGGATCATCACAGAGTAAACATGATGTGCTGATTTGTCTCTTAACTTTCACTCTCTCTCAGAACTGACACTTTTTTCCTTACCACCGCATGCTCTTACACAATGGTACACAATCACGTTACTAGACTGCCTTTTAATCCATAAACAGTATAACTGTGCTGATAAGATAAAATTCCCGCAAAGAGTTATAAAGCACATGTGTTATCTTCTATCAGCTAGAATTTATCTGAAAGCTGCTTCGGCATTGATGTTTGAATAATTTTCAGAGTACAACAAATCATTTAATGCCACTGTATTTGTATTTGGGAAGAGTAACCCAATGGATATACAGTATATTCATATTCTATGACTGTGATGTAGCCTTAAACAAGTACATCTTTTATCAAATAACAATTTAATGCCACCTTGACGAATTTGTCATATGAAAGCTCTTTAACTAGATGTCTGAGAGAATCACTAACCTTTGGTCTGTAGAAGACATTTTGTACAGACAGCATGGACACTACAGTGAGAATTTCATCACTACATCCAAGATGGACAGACATAATCAACATCTTGGACAACATCGGCTCCAGGGGAAACTCAGCCATCTGGTTTACAAAAAATATCTTTGATTCAGTGTTCAGATTCACAATTACACCATTTTACTTCTAATCAAAAGGTTTTTTATATTTATACAAAAAAATTTTTTTAAAGCATGCAAAATTGTGAATACCTGGTAATTCTGTTAAGTAAAAAAATATTGTTCAAATTTAATTAAAAGAATAATAATTAATATTTTCATGGTTATTACATTAACAGAAGTATAAAGTTACCAACATGCTACTAGATATTGTCTTATTACGGGTAAGATATCAAAACAGACAATAAAAGCTGACACCTTATAAAGGATGTAAAATCAGTTAACTTACTCTACGCCCAAGCCTGGTCAGCAGGCCTTCGTCGTCTAAAGCAGTCAGGGCATGCAGTTGTTCCATAGCTGAGATCAAGGTCTGCATTGGAGGAGCGTCCATGAAGTCAAAGGCCAGAAGGTCATTGATACCCATCGCCTTCAGGGACAACACAGTGCTCGCCAAGTTAGTTCTCTGAATTTCTGGCACATTTGTTGCCAGCATTTCATCACGGTAGGCTCTCTCTGTGTACAGTCTGTAACACTTACCAGGACCAGTTCGTCCTGCTCTACCAGCTCTCTGTTTTGCCTGAGCCTGGGTTGTAAACAAATCAATACTGTATCAGATATAGGTTTTTAGTACTAAGTTCTTTCAAATGACAGGAATATATAACCATCAAATAATGTAAAGGTTATATCTTTAATGGTGAATATTTTCCCATGGTTTAATATCAATTACAAAAGCTTCATGCAAACAGATCACTTTCACTCGGAAGTCATCAACTGTTTTCTCTTTTAATCCTGTCTGAAGACAAGGTAAAAATAATTTTTGTAGGGCTTTACTTTGTTTTCAAGTTAATCTATAATCCACGTGAATTCTTTGTAAAGGAAAGTTATAAATGTCCCAAAACTTTTAGGATAGGGGTGATTCATTTGAAATGAAATTTTACAAAAATTATGGCAGACATCAATTGTCAAATCTTTCTCATTAAATATGACAATGGGACATGGAACCACTAAAGTCTCCTAAACTTCTCTATCTTATCCTTACCTGTGATATTGGGGTAACAATCAGCTGATCCATCCCAGTTTTTGAATTGTACACATTCTGTTTCACAAATCCAGGATCTACCACATAATATATTCCATTAATTGTAAGTGAGGTTTCTGCTATATTGGTTGCAATAACGACTTTCCTAGATCCAGGAGGTGCAGGTTCAAAAATTCGGGTCTGCATCTCGCTGGGAAGGGCACTATATACCGGAAGGATAATGAGTTCTGGGACCTCTGGACCGAGGGCCTTCATTCGTTCATAAAGGATCTCACAGGCTGTGTCGATCTCCTCCTGCCCCGTGAGGAAGAGCAAAATGTCCCCTGTACAGAAAGAGAAGACGACCTCAATACTCCATCACATGGAACCATTCCTGACACAATCAGTAGCACACCAAAATAAACAATCCAAAACAAAGACAATTAATCAATCTTGTATATAAAAGACGTTTAACAGATATCTCAATTGGTAAAATTCAGACCCCACTCCCTGAAGATCTCTGAAACATGTAAACTTCTTCAAATACTGATTTAGAATCTTTTAGATTGAACAATATGATCAATCAAATCATCAGTACAAAGAAAATGTATAGAAGAGCTATGTACAATCCAAATGTAGCCTTCACTGGGATTCTATAAATCTAGATATATGCCACGCCTACACCAGTACTTACCTGGTGGTTCCATTAGATGTATCTGCATTACTGTGATCATGGAAGCATCCAGGTAGTCTGTTTCTGCCTCTTTGGTGTACAACACCTCCACTGGGTATGTACGTCCAGGGATGGTAAAAATTGGCTGGAAGTAGAAATTGTAATAGACATCAAAATATCATTTTAACCTGCAGATTGAGAGCAGTGTTTTTTCAAACATAGATATAACTGTAGTAATATTATAATGAGATTCTGATAAATACAAGAGGCCCACAGGCCTTAAGGGTCATCTGACTATAAAGACCTATATATGAAAGAGGCCAATTAGGCCTAAAATCAATTTCTCAACCACTCTATAACTTACATAGAAGACATTAGTTGGTTTAAAAAGACATTTTCTGCAAATTTGAAATCATATTATTCATACAAGCACTACACAAATACCATTACTCCTGACATATTGCTTGTTGAAAAAAGCATGCTAAAGACCCTTGGTATTTTGGTTATTGAAAAGAAGTTGCTTACATATTTCAACACATTTGACCCCTGTGACCTTGAAAGTAAGTCAAGGTCATTCATATTAACAAAGGTGGTAGCTCTAACTACAAGCATGCCACAGGCCTAATATCAGCACCCTGTGCCTTTTGAAGAAGAAGTTGTTTAAAGACTTCTTTAAAATTCTTTCATTTTCATTTCAAACAGCACATTAACAAAAAACATACTTACAGCTTCAAAGAAATACTGTGAAAATTTGACAGAATCCAGCGTGGCAGAAGTTACAATAAGTTTCAGATCTTTACGTTTCTTCACTGCCTATAATTGAAAATCATGAAGTCATATTGTATAGAACATAACTGTTTACAAGTCACAGCAAAAGTTTTTTAAAACTTAATATTGAATGAATATTAAATATGTAAACATACATTGGTTGATTATAATCACTAACTCTACTAAACAGGCACAAAGATCTTAATTCTTTTGGAACTATTCACATAATCAGTTAATGATATACATTCTTTAAATCTATACTAAACTTCAGGCAGTAGACTATACTATTTGTACTTATATGTTTTAATCTGTTAATCATGACACAAAATTTTAGTACAAAATACAAATAATGATTATTATTGAACTAGCATATATCTAATGTTGAATAATAATTATATAAAAGTTAGGAATAAGTTTTTCACAGTTGAATTTACATTAGAAACTATTAAAGATGGTCTCATATAGTGATTAACTGACATGGATTCCTTTCAGTATTCAACAAAGATCCTTCTTATGATGTGAACATAATATCAGAAAATTTCTCAAAATCTTCTTCATTGTAAAGTCTTTACTTCCACACATTACAGTTAAATTAAGTCACAGTAACTATAATGACCTAATCTGTCTCTAAAGAAACAAAGAAAGTTGACATCACTGACAATGTATTCTGGTTTCTAATTTATAGACAAAGGTGCAGTTCGAGTCCTTGGACAACCATGTACCTCCTTGAGCAGCCCAAACAGGACATCTGTGTGTATGGTACGTTCGTGTGCTTCGTCCAACATGATGATGGCGTACTGCTTGAGGTCTGGGTCTATCAGGCACTCCCTTAGTAACATACCATCTGTCATGTACTTTATCTTAGTCTCCGGACTCGTACAGTCCTCAAAACGCATTGTGTAACCAACCTAAAGCACCAAGGGAAGAAAAAGTTGTAAACAAGTCTTTTCTTAAAAACATGTCTTTAAAATAAGAACACATTGATACATGTGTTCAGTTTTGTTCCTCTTTGGTAAGTTATCAACAACTTTTTCATTAGTTTCTTTCTCAAAAAAAGTGAGAAGAATTTGCTAACTAAAATAATGATGCAATTTTCAAATCTGAAATATTGGAAAACTCTTATTGCTTCTTTTTCTTACTATTTGAAATAGCTTCTCTGTAAAATTATGTTGTATATATTAAATTGTGTACAACCTCCTGACCAAGACGGCAACCAAACTCCTCAGAGACCCTCTTGGCAACAGACATAGCAGCTACACGACGGGGTTGGGTACAGCCTATCTTGCCGTGAGTTGTGTATCCAGCTTCAGCTAAGTATTGTGTGATCTGAGTTGTCTTCCCTGATCCAGTTTCTCCAATAACAATCAATACCTGGTTATCGTTCACAGCCTGCAATCAAGTTAGTACAGATTTTCAAGACAAATGTATTTCAAACAAACCACTGAACTGTTACTACTAATACCTCCAATCAAAAACATGTTCCCCTTAATGCTATTGTTTATTTACCATCAAAATATATTTTACTGTTGACTTTACTAAGTATCTGTTGCAATGCCTCAAGACATTTGTCAACATATATCTGGTATATAATATAATGATTTTCATTTTTCACAATTATAATCTTATATTCACAATCATTAAAAAGTATAAAAAGTGAAACAGACTAGTAATAAAGACATTTTTCTCTGTGACCTTTGACCCTATTTTACTGACCTTGATTAGTTCTTCCTTGAGTTTATAGATAGGCAGACCCTGCCTTTGCTCCAGTAACGATTTTTTCTCCTTTTTGCCATAAGAGGCTTTCTGACCCCCCGTGATATGCTTCTTCCAGTCAGGGATGTCGTTGGGAGTCATTCCTATTCCTCTCATGTTTGCAGCTAGTTGGCGTCCTTCAGCTGATAATAAAATTTCCATTCACTTAAATTAATGAATTGATTTAATGTTAATCATTTAGATTTCACAAATACTTTATTTCGCCAATTGACCTTTCCACACATATTCATGAGTACATGATTTCCCAAACACTAATCTAGAAATGGCTTTAAATTTGAGAATGATGAGCCATTAGACAATGACTTTTCAAGGCACAGATATCGGTAACCAAATCAACATGAATGCTGTCCCGGTTATTTTTTTTGTACAAATAATTTGTAAAAGGATTTGAATTTGCAATTGACTCTCCTTACATAGTAACATGAAAATAAATCCCATGCAAAATATAAGTGATTTACAGAATGCAGGAGCATTTTCTGTTAATTTTTTTCAAAAAACCTTTGAGTAAATTATTGTTTCAGGTAATAAAAGAAAAACTGATAACATAAAATTGTCTAATAAGGCTAATTTACTAACATTAAATTTTAGTCAGGATGAAATACCAATTCATAGTTTTTTTTCTCACCTTCAGGCATGGGATCTATCCAGTGGTTGTTGAGACCTGCGGGAACACTGCCCATTTCTGCTTCTCTCTGAACCTGTTTCAGTTCCCTCCGCTCTTTCTGTAAGGCATTCTGCATCATGGCTGATTGGGACAGGGAACCATCAGGATTCTAGAACAGGAAAATGTTATTATTTTCAATGAAAATAAACCCATTTGTTAGTTATAATTGGGTGTAAATTTGGAGAAAACAATTTCTAAATTGTTCTTCAGAATAATGTAACTTTGTGAAAACTCAGGTTTAAAACAAAATCTATCTTCACTTTTTAATTGATGTAGAAAAGTTTTAATTTCATGGCCTATTGAGTCAACTGAGTCAATTTCAAATTCCAATCAAGAAACATATCCAGTTTAAAAGGGAAAAAATGACAATTCTGCTATAAATACTGACCTTCACAATTTTGACAGGACTTAAGTCAATCCCTGCACGTCCATGACCAGCTAAGAAAGGAGCTTCTTCTTCTAACAGTTCAATCTCCACATCCTCATCTGTGTAATACATGAAGTGTTAATCAAATAGGTCAAACATTAAGTTACATTGACCTTAATTAAATAGGTCGAACAGAATATTACATGGACATTAATTAAATAGGTGAGATATAAATTTACAAGGACTATGAAAAGTTGGATATGATGACAACTGCATTATGCTGGCTGGATATTTGGGACAGCCATCATTCTTCAATATTTTTTTTGTAAATGCCGGTAGGTGAACTTGGATATATTGCCCTGTTTCTATAAGTGACAATTAAGTTGGTATGAACTAAAAGCACAACAGAATGGAAAGATCTGTGACTCAACATACCAGAATCTTCTTCTTTAGGAAGCAGACCAGTTTCTTCGTCAAAGTCAGGCAACTCTGACTTATCAATAACATTAGCAGCAATCATTTGTTTGATTTCCCACTTTTCGGGTGAAGAGATTCGCTGGACCCGTTTCTTGTCTTGTGTTTCGTCTGTGTCTGGGAGATCCATCATCGGAAGAGTTGAGGGACGATCAGGGTTACGAGCAGTCTCACTGTCATCCTTTATTTCTCCACCCATCAAAGATCTTGTCCTCTCCTGGTTCAAATCCTCGCCAGTGTCCTGGTCTACATCCTACAAAAGATTCCTTTCCTGTTATAAAATGTAATAACTACCACTATTGTTTATAAAATGTAATAACTACCACTATTGTTTATAAAATGTAATAACTACCACTATTGTTTATAAAATGTAATAACTACCACTATTGTTTATAAAATGTAATAACTACCACTATTGTTTATAAAATGTAATAACTACCACTATTGTTTATAAAATGTAATAACTACCACTATTGTTTATAAAATGTAATAACTACCACTATTGTTTATAAAATGTAATAACTACCACTATTGTTTATAAAATGTAATAACTACCACTATTGTTTATACTTCTATCATGTATCAAAATATGCCAAAACTGCAATACAAGATATTTTTGGAAATTTCATACATTTTTTTGGGCCAGCTAGACTTTCTCATCTCACTGAAAAGTGTTCATCAGCCTTAACGATCTCAGAGAGTTTCCTTACAAGAAGTATATCCTCTGGTATAAAATCTGAAAAGTATACATAACAAGAGGCCAATAGGGCCTGTATTGCTCACATAATTCTTAAAGCCGAGCAATGTTTATACATGCCTACAGTTTGGGTATTTCAAATATTTCCAAATTAAAGCTCAGTCACTTACCCTCTTTGATGGGGCACGACCAATGGTTAAATTCTTATATCATTATTGTTTTTCTCTTTTGATTCCCAGTAAGAATATATATGGCTATTGGGTTGGTATCTCAACTGTTTCAAAAGATATTACCATGAAACTGAGTCCCTAGGATTGGAGATTTTAAAGAATTTGCTCACTCAGCCCTTCGGGCCAGGTGAGCTAAAAATATATAAACAACTGATATTCTTATATGATATGCTTGGGTGTAGGTAGATACCACTGACTCCAGCTCCTGAATGGTCCTATACAATTATTTACTATACATACCTCAGATATCACGACAGGTTTACTTACCTTCATAGAAAGACTTGTCTTGTTACCGGTAAATGACAGCACTTTGACCTTGACCTTCTGACCTCGTTGAACCACGTCGCTGACCTTTGTCACTCGGCCCTCTCTCCTCAGCTGTATCAATGGCAGATAAATTTTACACATTATCAAAACAATGAGAAACTTTTGTAAGAAATAAAACTTAAACATAAATGTGGTAAACAAAACAGAAATCAAACATCAGTAACCAAAGGCATATATTTATCTAGTATATAAGGAAATTTGGCTTGTACAAGAGTACACAGTCCTGCCAATACTATCAGTATCTAACATTGGCCTTCAACTCAGTGACCTTGACCCTGGACAAACTTCTCATTAATCATTGGGCGGGGGATAATCACAAATATTTGAACCTCTAAATAAAGGTCACCTTTCTTTGCTCCACTAGGTGACCTTTATAGTCAGGTTTACTTCAATATTAACAGTTTTTAATTTTCACAATTTTAGTTCATATCTTAACAGTCATACAAAACTTCACATTTTCAAAATGTTTACCTGTGATATATGAACAAGTCCCTCACATTTCTTCCTCAGACCCTCCAGCTGTACAAAGCAACCAAACTGCATAATGGTGGTCACCCTTCCCTTAAATATCTGAAAGCATAAAACAAGAAATTAATTGTTATAAAATAAGCAGCCCATTTCTAGATGTTATGTAATGGAAATGTTATTTTCAACATCGACATTAGCAGAATAATATCTTTGATATTTCATTAAATGTGGATAGAGATCTTGAACAGAGAGATCAGTTTAGACAGGTTAAATAGGAAGAGAGATCCTGAACAGAGAGGGATCAGTTTAGGCAGGTTAAATACAGAGAGAGATTCTAAACAGAGAGGGGTCAGTTTAGGCAGGTTAAATGTGGAGAGAGATCCTGAACAGGGAGGGGTCAGTTAAGGCAGGTTTAATGAGTAGAGATATCTGGAACAGAGAGGGATTCCTTTAGGCAGGTAAAATATTGAGATAGCCAAGTTGGAGTACAATTTTGTATATTTCTCTTAAATAAGAGGTAGTTTAAATGACAAGTATGTTCCTGATGAGTATTAACATTTGCACAGATAAACAACATAAATCTCTAGAATGCTACATCTCAATAGATTTAATTTGTTATTTGGTTGGTAATGGACTCACCCTGCCGACAACTGGTTCCATTGGAATTTCCTCGTCATCTGATTCCTGCTCTCTCTTACTTTTCCCACCCCTGTATCTGTCCTTTCTATCTTCTTCGTCTCTGTAATATTTACTCTGTCTCTCCCTGCTTCGACTTCGTGAACGTTTCCTGTGTTTTCTGTCCCGATCCTTAGATCTTGACCTGTCTCGTCGTCTCTCACGGCTACGGCTTCGTTTCCTGTCTCTTGGTGAACGACTTCTTGATCGCCGACTGTTTTTGTTTCTGAAAAAACAAGTACACTATTCATGCACTTTGTATAATATTTGTAGTAAAACCATTTTGATTTGATATTTTTTCTTGGCAAATGATGACAGTATGATCAGGGTATAAACATACATGACAAAGAGTGGCTGTATAAAAGTTTTACCTTTTCCTATCACGGTCTCTACTGTGACTACGTTTTCTGTCTCGCTCTTGACTTCTACTGCGGCTCCGCTTATGTTTACTTTTCTTGGATTTGTTGTCACTGTTAAAATAACAATATTAAAATAACTACGTATTATATACCAAACACATATATGTACAAAATGAAACAATATCAAGTAATTTTTCTAAAAATAAAAGAATTTCAGGCGAGTTGAGAATACCATTTCAAAATCTTGATGAAGCCCAACACAAGAGTTATACAGGGGCTTCTCAAAATTTTAATGAATCAGAATCCCACAGGAAAACATGTGTCCTGGACTCAAATTATCTGATTCCCCAAAATCATTAATATCTGACTGATTCCTTGGGAACAGAACAGAACACAGATAATCATCAAACTACACACTTGAGATCTACACTAGAGCCCAATAGTCCAACAACAGAGCTACCTTTGATTTTAATGTTTTGATACTCAGTCAATTTAGAGAGTAACCAAAGAATGAATTACATTATTTTATCTATGAAGATTTATGTACCGTATAAAATAATGATGCAAATTTCATATCAACAGGAACTGAAATAAAATGTCATGAGAAACCAATATAACATAGTCATGAGAACAGCTTGTTATCCTAAACTATATAGTGTCATTTGATTTAAATCTGTACAGAGGATAAATATTGTAAAGTTTTTCTGTTAGTACAAATTTTCAGTTTTACCAAATTCAAGAAGTCATGAGAATTAATAAATGTGCCATATCTTTATCAATATCATTTCTGATATATCTATTTTTCATTTTATCATTTCATTATTGAAAATAGTTAAAATTAGAAACATTGAATGATAACCTTTACTATAGTTATAGAAATAATCTTTTGTAACAGAAATATTCAAACAACATTTTTCAAAATTCAACAAAGGACTTTCGTTCTATATAATGACCTTTTAACAGTACTAGTGCCTTACACAGTTTGATTTAGAAATAAGGTTTAAGATATGGATGTCCTGATGTAGAAATGAAGAGCTTTGTTACCTGTTACTGCCAGGTGGGTTTGCCATCAGAGCCATTAGTTCTCCCATCATATCATCAGCGACCTCTGTATCTTCTTTCTTTATATTACCAGTTTCCTCCATTTCTTCTTCCTTTATTTCCTCTAGCATTTTCTAAAATGACAAAGAAAATTATAATCATGACCAGATTTTTAATTTCAATAATGAAAAAAAACTGCTGGTTTCTCAATTTTCCAGATTGATTTGTTTGTTGACTTTACTGCCCAATAAACAGTCAATGTCATTTTAGGAGGGAGCCTCCTTATGGTACTTGGTCGCTACCTCAGTGAAAAACAAGCAGAAGGCCATTCACATACTAACCAAAGCAGCTGGGGTAAGATGTCTTGCCCATGACAGATCAGACTTGATTACATCAGCAGCATTATTGCTATTAAGGATATTCTCTATATGTTAATTCATATCAGAGCATGGGTATATGGGGAAAATAGAATCCATCAAAAGATGCTTCACTAGAAATCTCCAAAATATAGCATTTAGGGTCAGAGACTTATAGAATTTTTAAAAAATACCTAAGCCCTTACCCTGGAATTTGGATCATTAGCCAAAGCCAGTCCTGGGTAAAGCTTCCTTTTCAGAGTAATCTCATCATCTCTCTGGTTTTCCTTATAACTGTCATTTGTTTTCTCTTTGTCTCGAGATTTTGATTTCATCTTCTGTATCAACCTCAGCAGGTTGGCGATGAGGGAGTCCTGTAAGAAGAAGACAGCGTAGATGTCATACAAGTATACCTGGATTATTGAAAAGTGAATAATCATACAACTAAGACTTTGGAAAAATTCAGATGTTAGTATAATATATACATTACTCTCTCCTTGTATTGGTAGCATTTAGCAGTCAGCTATCACAGAAGGATTGCATTTTGTCATTGTATGTTTACAATGATTTTTCCATAATTGATAAAAATATAAACATATTTAGTTGAAGAAAATATAAGACATTTTGTTCCGTAAGGGTTCAGTTTTAAGAAATATTCAGTTTCAGGCTATATCATCTGTATATTGTTTTTCTAAAACATTCTGATTTATTTTCAAATCACTTTTGATCAGTAAATTCATTGCAATATTTTTTTCAACTCAGTTTTTTTTATCGTTTACTCACTGAAAATTCTGCTCCATTTTCCATTAGGACTTTCTTGAAAGCATCAAAATTGTCATTTTTCTCTGATAAGGAAATGATGAATTCAGCTGCAAGTGAACAAAACAGGTTTGACAAAATAGGCTTATATACATTTGTACATACAAATACACATGAAAAGTCTGTAAAATCATCTTATTTCTATTTCCAACAGATAATTCAATATCACAATACACGAAACTTATGCAGGTTAAAAATCAAACAAAATCATGCCTATATACCGTAAAGAAGAGACTGACAAGATAGTTGATAACTCATTTTCAGATTTTGGTTGATTCTGATTTTTGCAGTTTAACAATAAAAGATAAGGTTGCCATACAGTCAAGCGGCCAATGTAACATGGCAGCTATGTCTGGTGTATTCAGCCTTGTGACCTTAATTATTTTGCCTGGGATAGTATTTTGTATATCCTATGGAAATATACAAACATTTTTATCTTAGTACAAGGGTTCTGACCATGATTATCTATCCCCAATTTAATTTTTGTCTCTTTTGCAACAAAGATGAAAAATGAAAAGTAGTTGGTACATTTCACACTACATGTGAGAGTGTTGATATCAATCTCTACATTTCTAGTTACTCCTTACAATTTTCTTGGTAAAGGACCCTTAATATTTTTACTTCAGAAGGCATAACTTCCAAATTTCTGACAGTTTTGTTCCCACTAAGTTAACTTTTCAAACAAATACATTTTTTCATTAGAATGACCATCATTCCCATTTGATACTATATCATCATATTAGTTCCATCTGATTTTATTCTAAAAAGAAATCATATATATCATTATTACACTATTAGCATAACTTCCCGCTGTCCTAAATACAACTTTCCTAAATATCTGTATATACATGACGACCATTAAAAAATGTGATCTCACTTTACCATTCTATCTAAGCTATATATGTGCCCAGTTGAATTATAAAGCTATTGGCGAGTTACCTAAATCTTTGTCATTCAGTCCCAAGTGATTGTCCAACTCTGTGCAGACTTTTGATACCAAAGATAGGTGCTCGAGCTTCTCCAGTTCATTCATCTTTCTTGTGCCTTGTTTGCCTGGTTCGGATTTATACTTCAGCAATCGTCATAGCGTGGTGATTTCAACGAATGGTCGACCGACCACACACTTACCGTTTCGATATCTGCCTTGGGTTTCATGGAAGGAATGTCATTTAGAAGTATTCGCAGAAAAACAGTTCGAATGTTAATGTTAAGCTTACATTAGTTAAATATCTTATTGTTAAATACTTATGGTGCCGTGAGCATATTCATTTCAATCTGTAAACATCGGAAATACGTTTTCTCAACGAGAAGAGTTCTACTAAGGAAACACAACTCTTGTTTACCTTCATTCTCGGCCCATCGGCTGCCAATCTTACCGCTATATCATCTGTACTGACAGAGTGAAAACGAAGAGCAGTAACTGTGGGAGAACAGATTGGGTTAACCCCTAATTAAGCCACAATTACCACTCCACGCACCATATATCTGTCATGTCCTTGTGCTCTGAGTTAATATCATATAAAGGATTTGTTTGAATTTCCCCCAAATATGTTATATATATGGCAAGCCAAAGTGGAGAGAGGCCACTATATATTACTATGGAATATGATGCATCTGTAACCATTCAAATCATCTTTTGTTTTCATTTATACCTTGTGATAATCATTGGGTTTTTTCTATCGGTTTGAAAGACATCCATGTTTCATGTTAAATAAACTAGTGAGAATTGTCCTAACAGTTAATTGTTACCATACTCCAGATGCTCGTCAACAAAATGCATCGTGTATCAATATCCTCCAGATTTGCATCGATGTTTCTGCATGTACAACAAATGAATCATTTCAAAAATTTACACTGGCTTCTAATTTATCTGTTTTTTGACTGATAAAAATTGTTAAAATTTGCATAAAAAGAATTCTGGAAATCAATTCAAATTTCATTAATTTCTAATCTCGGCATTTCCTGGTGTTTCTCTCTATAACTGACTGTAGTAATTGTTTTGAGATCGATTGCACGCGTTACGTGTTCATAATTAAAAAACAGGACAAATGTTGGGTCACCTCATCTAATTACAATTCGACCAGAAACCGGAGTACAATGAAGATTTTTGTTGCACTTCTGTGTTCTTTTATGGCCCTAAATCAGAATTCTATTTATAGATATTTAAGTACAACTAACGGATATCCATAATTCGATTTACGGATATTCCTAATTTAAATTTATAGATATCCACCTTACCAGTCCACAGACTAATCAGTGTTATGACATGCTTTGATCTCTACATCCCGTTCCTCTCGTGATCGTCACGCTCGAGAATACTCGCTTTCTCAAAAGAATGACTGAGATAATAACAGCCACTCGCCTTTGTGATATATTAATATTTTCTCAAATATTTGTGATTTCATTTTCATTTTTGACTTAAGTATGCAAAATTTTAAAAAAAAGTTGATCGTTATGAAAATCTCAGACCCCATCGTTCGTGCATTTAAGACAGACTTGACATTCCTAATTTCCCTGAAAACAAATGTTAAACGAACAATCTATTTCATAGAAATAAATTATCGCCTAGATATGAATAGCTATGAGTCCCCGATCTGTCTCGTGAAACTTCCGGCGTTTAGTATGTGTAGTGTGAGCGACTGCACATTAAAGGCAAATAGTTATGAAGGATAGAAAAGTTGATATACTGTGTGATGTAGATTTTTCTCTTTTACTATTTCTATTATGTCATTTGACCTGACTATTCGTACTGTAGACAATTTTATTGTTGTTTCTGTTCGTTGAAAACGGCGTTTCAAAGTTTATTTTAATCTAAAAAAAAATATTTGTAAATATACAGTTGAAATCAGAAACAAGTTTTTAAAAAAGGCATCATTCGTCTTCCGGGGGAAAACATGATGCTATGACATGAGAGCGCAAATTAAAACAGAAAAAGGCAATGATGATGAAAAATGACATTACTGAAATTGACGGTAAGACGAAAATTACATTATATATATGTAGTTGTTCTACATATGTCGGTATATCATGTACAATAGAGCGATAAATATATATGTAGTTGTTCTACATATGTCGGTATATCGTGTACAATAGAGCGATAAATATATATGTAGTTGTTCTACATATGTCGGTATATCATGTACAATAGAGCGATAAATATATATGTAGTTGTTCTACATATGTCGGTATATCGTGTACAATAGAGCGATAAATATATATGTAGTTGTTCTACATATGTCGGTATATCGTGTACAATAGAGCGATAAATATATATGTAGTTGTTCTACATATGTCGGTATATCGTGTACAATAGAGCGATAAATATATATGTAGTTGTTCTACATATGTCGGTATATCGTGTACAATAGAGCGATAAATATATATGTAGTTGTTCTACATATGTCGGTATATCGTGTACAATAGAGCGATAAATATATATGTAGTTGTTCTACATATGTCGGTATATCGTGTACAATAGAGCGATAAATATATATGTAGTTGTTCTACATATGTCGGTATATCGTGTACAATAGAGCGATAAATATATATGTAGTTGCTCTACATATGTCGGTTCTACATATGTCGGTATATCATGTACAATAGAGCGATAAATATATATGTAGTTGTTCTACATATGTCGGTATATCAGGTACAATAGAGCGATAAATATGTATGTAGTTGTCCTACATATGTCGGTATATCATGTACAATAGAGCGATAAATATATATGTAGTTGTTCTACATATGTCGGTATATCATGTACAATAGAGCGATAAATATGTAATTATAAACTCGGAAGTAATTTACTGATACAGTGAATGTTGCAATTAAAATATGATTTAATTTATAACATTAAATATGAAGACTTATATAATAACAGAACATACCAACATATTTGCCAGAGTTATGATTACTGGGTGACACAGCTGACCACCATAAGACTAAGTACATCCTGATACACTAACGCAGCACCGTACTACATGATTTTCGTCGAATTTCAAACACACACCAGAACCTTGTTTCCGAGTTTTGGGTGTTTTCTGTTGCGGAGGTGAGCCATTGTGTTACCATAGTACCAAATTGATAAGTATGTATGGTTAATAGTATATTTTTATCTCATTTAAGAAGTATGGAATGTTTGTTAAATACTTGAACTAAAAACTAAATAGACAGCGATTTTTCTCTCTTAGAAAACGTATCAGAAGCAACAACAATAAATCTGCAGATATTTCAATTATTACTGCATTAGAAACAGCAATAATTTGTAAATGTCCAAGCTGTTTGTAAGACCTGAGTGACTGATCACATGATCAATTATTGATGAAAATGGGAAACTTTATTTCACTTCAATTTGTTTTAAATGTTTAATTTATACAAAAGAAAAGGTTCGTCCTTAATGTTTAATTATATACATGTACGTCATAAATGTTTAATTTACAGCACTGTAAGCATTTAAATGTTTAAAGAAATAACGTCAAATGTTTAATTTATACAAACAAGAGAAATGTTTAATTTATACATGTTCGTCCTAAATGTTTAATTTATACATGTACGTCCTAAATGTTTAATTTATACATGTTCGTCCTAAATGTTTAATTTATATATGTATATAAATGTTTAATTTATACATACAAAAATAATGTTTAATTTAAATCTTTTAGTGCGTAAAATGTAATTTTGAACACTTTGAAATCCTTAATGTTTAATTTATCCACTTCAATTTGTTTTAAATGTTTAATTTATACATGTTCGTCCTTAATGTTTAATTTATACATGTACGTCATAAATGTTTAATTTATACATGTACGTCATAAATGTTTAATTTATACATGTTCGTCCTAAATGTTTAATTTATACATGTACGTCCTAAATGTTTAATTTATACATGTTCGTCCCTTAATGTTTAATTTATACATGTTCGTCCTAAATGTTTAATTTATACATGTTCGTCCTTAATGTTTAATTTATATATGTTCGTCATAAATGTTTAATTTATACATGTTCGTCCTTAATGTTTAATTTATATATGTACGTCATAAATGTTTAATTTATATATGTACGTCATAAATGTTTAATTTATACATGTTCGTCCGAGGTTTAGATGATGGTGAAAACTTCCGATCATGACAGTGTTTTCTGTAGTGGCTGTATTACCAGGATACCGATAGTTATATGTATTGTAGTATAACTGGTGGAAAATATCGAAGGAATTCTTGTGTAGTACGAACAGACTAAACTCGTGTATGTGAATGTATCAGATATTACCTTATCTCGATTCATTCGTTACTAGATCCATATTAGACAATTTGTTTTACGTTTACCACACTCTAGAGGTTTAGCACATTCCGAGATATAGATCGTATAGTTTACCTTAATAGATAGCTCTCCTAAATACCGGTAAAGTAGACCCTATTTTGTCTTACTGAGTGGTATCATCAGTTACGATTTGTCCTTATTACAAATAGAGGATTTTTGATTATTTATGTAAATTAGCTTCATATCATTTGTAGTAATTGTATTTCCAGTATCATCAGTATATAGATCAGACAAAACTAAAGAGATTGTATCTTGTGTTTATAGTAAAGGAACCTTTTAACCTATGTAAATGTGCGCGCGCGGACGTGCATTGGTTGCTACGTGCGTGAACGCGTAGCAGTGAGTTTTTAAATAACTGCTTATGTTCATGTTAAAGAACTGTTATGAGAGAGAGAGAGAGAGAGAGAGAGAGAGAGAGAGAGAGAGAGAGAGAGAGAGAGAGAGAGAGAGAGAGAGAGAGAGAGAGAGAGAGAGAGAGAGAGAGAGAGAGAGAGAGAGAGAGAGAGAGAGAGAGAGAGAGAGAGAGAGAGAGAGAGAGCTAAATTCTTTGAATAGTATGCGGCGGGAATTCTTCATGTTGCTCAATGTTGATGTAGCCACAAGGTACCAAGACTATGATTTTTGACGGTGTGACAAACCAAACGACGAAATACAAGTAAACAATTATGACAAACAATGATATCGTTTTTCAGTCATGTTTTATTATTATGGGATATATGTGGATCTGTTCCACGTCGTCATGACAACGGATTTCATACGTCCATATACAACAGATAGAAATATAGATAGATATTTATGTAGCTTCTACATCGATCACTTCGTCAAATACTTACATTGACACAATGAAAGACTAATCGGGAATTACATGATATTTATCGGTGAAATGCGTTGATCGCCAATGACAATGATATATATACTGTACATGTACACAAAAACATAAGAAAATATTTGTGGAATATGTACAAACACTCTACAAGCATCAACTGACTATATTAACATGTATTTAAGTTAGTTTCGTGCTTCGTTTCCAAGAGCACCAGTACAGAGACCCGAAAAATATTATCAAAATACATTAAATGTATGATACAAAACCCCTTTTTGACCCTAATACCCATCCATTTATACGATCCAATATTGACATTTTAATAGCGAGTTATAGTGAAAGGTAAGTTATGGATGTCGTAAAGTGTTAGAGGACGACGTAAATGTGGTAGTTTTGGGGAATACCATGATAGTGACAGCAGTGTTTGAGGTAATAATTATAGTAATGTTGTAATGACGTCACACTGGACAAATGGTTTGGGTGACGTAATATATGAGTTATGTGGGATAACAATAACGTTAATATTTGGATGACGTCATCACATATAGGATATCAGGAACGATAATGCCCCCCACTCCCCATTTTTTTTTATCAATTTCCGTTTCATATCAATATCAATCTGATTCGCTGCCATCAATATTACAAATTTTGAAAAAAACAAATTCCCTTTTTCATCCATTGCTGGTTTCAAGCCGAGGAGGTATCAAAAACACTTCGTGCAGACTGCAAAATTTTAATGATGTAAGGTACTCCGTTTTTGTTTGTTTTTGTTTCTTTTAAATAGCATGATATATATATATAGAAGTGAATTGACTAAAAAATAAAGAAGAAACATAGAATCGCACAACACGTGTACATGTAGTGGTTGTCTCCCTTGTAACACATCTAAGCTACCTTTGTACACGATACTAATTTTGAAGAAAAACATGTACGACTGGGCAAGCTAAGTAAGTTTCTACACATAGTTGTCGTTTTTACACTTACTTACATGGAACCTGTTGGTTTATGCGGACAAACATTTCGAATGGCAATCTGGAGGAGCACTCCGATGTTAAACTCACTTGAAAACAATGTTTAATAACTTAGTCCGTCTTTATATCAATCGGAAACACATCTGGTTCTGGTCGTGTGACTGATCGCTTGGATACCAACTATCGCTTTAGGTTGGAGGTATCCTGTGTTATTCTTTCAATATCACACTTCAAACATCATGGCGAGTCTATCTATATTGGTAAGATAGTTTCTGTGATGGCTCATTAGATCACAGGAGCACTAGGTCCGATGTCATTTCATCAACAAAAAACGGTATCTCCTGACAGCTTTAATTACATGCAAATCAAATGTACATGTTAATTAGTGAAGCGATAGGGAAGGATAGCACGGAGTTTTAAAAAGGTCAGAAAATGAAATCGATAAGTTGATTCTAGGCACATATTCGCAGTTATCCTTCACATATATAAAAGAATATAAAAATAATATTCTCGCCAAAACAACACGATACATATGAAACAAGAGGCCCGAACTAACCTTGATATATATCTTGGGAGACTACTTCAAGGAAAACGACTTGTGTTCTACTCATATCCGCTTTCAGTAGTTGATTGATCAATATACCCATGAAACGTACATGTAAATGTATACCCAATCTTATCAAGTCGAATATTCAGTTTCTCAGGGGAAATACATACTGGTAGGGAAAAACCACAGATCGACCATAACGAGTCGGATATGATGTTTCTCAGTGGAAGATATTTATATGTACATTTTACACATACACTTAACGGTAATGTTAGACATTTACAATTAAGACCTGTCACGTATCTTTTTCAAGTCCACAACTAAGTGTAATCGCCATGATACTGAATGATCCAACCTCCCTCTTTCCAAATGAGGCTTACAAGGAAACCAAGCTGTAAAAAATCAATTCACAGTATTATTAGGTTCTTTGAAAGTCACGTGCCCATTTGTTTTGGTGACGTCACGACTTGTGTCATCGACAGTGTCCAATGGGATGTAGCTCTGATGTTGTTGGGAGTCCTGGAGACGCGGGCTTCTGCGCACCGAGGTCTGCACGTTTGTGTACTGTGTTGTTGAAGTGACACTCGTGAATCTTGGTTCGCTATTCATAAAGCCTGGCCAGCTCTTCCGGATCAGGTTCTTTATGTGAGTGTGGACCTAGAAATATTGATATACAAAAGTGTAAATCGGAGTTATATGTAGGTGTTAGAACAGGCAAAATAATGGTCATTCAGTATTTAGAAGACATGAGCAGACATTCGATATTTATCAACAGTTCCCAAATTCATCCACACTACATCGGAATGATAGCTCTAATTATTATCCTTGCAAAGTTGGCGGTACCATCATGTATACATACACGTGGAGCAAATTTCATCGACGTCTGAATAATAATGGGATTTTTAGCCAATCAGATGACCGCTTTTAGTTTGCAAGACAACTAATCAAAACGAAAAATCATTTGCACTCTGCCATGCAATCATAAATTCCCCAACATTTTTCTTCTAATGATTGTTTGAGCCTTTTAAGTTTTGAGGAAAATGGGGAAAACCTGTGCGCCGGAAGAAAATAGAAGAAATAAGAACAATGGTAAGAAATGGAGTACAATCAAATTTTGTTTCTGAGAAATAATGACGGCAATGATATAGAATTGACTCTGCAGGAAAAAACATGGGGAAGGACATGGGAAGACTTCCACTTTCTCATAGGAGATATTGGCGAGTTGTTCTGTAATTTCAAAAATATGTAGAATAATCAAATGATCTACCTTACCTCCCCATTGAAAACGCAGAAAATGAGAGAAATTATCCCGCCCTGCAAACGAAAGAAAACGTAGTAACAATATGAGTTTATCACAATATCAATAGGAGAGCTATTCAATGTGTTAAGATATGTCAATAAACGATTGAACGCTGTTATTCATCAAATCACATCTTATCTAATTAGGTTTACATAAAATAAACAAAACACAAGTTAACATTTCTATTCGTAAATCTAAATATTTTTCTCTCACCTGAGTATTGATGACAATCGTCTTTGCAACCTCGTACACAAACATGGCTGATCCGGAAGTGTTCGGTCTGTAGATTACAAGGATGGACTGGATACCAAAAAGAGGAACAAGTACAAATGTGGCCCGGAACGCACGTCTGTAAAATTAAAAAAAAAAAGTTTTATGTGAGTCGTAGCAGTAACACACACAGATATTGTAGACCGGAAGTAAATCTCCAAACCCAGTAATAAGATATCAGAAAAAAATATTATATCATCATCTCGATCGATGAAATGTGACAGTACATCCTTGTGATGACTATGGAATACTACAGTACACTGAAAATCAATACAACATTCATCAATTCTTCTAAATATCATCACCAAACACTAACACGTGATTTCACAAAACTTTTACAAATCTATAATCTGATCATTTTTTTTTTATTTTGTAAGTTTTTAAAGTACAATTGCGATTGCTAAGATACCTGATCGCCAGTATTGTGGGGAATGAATTACATTACTAACAGAATCTATCCATATTTGCTTATTTATATTATAGATCAAACCAAGATCCAAGAAGGTGGAGGGGAGATTGGGGTTCATGTCAACACCAAATAACCAGGATCCAAGAAGATGGAGGGGAGATTGGGGTTCACGTCAACACCAAATAACCAGGCTCCAAGAAGGTGGAGGGGAGATTGGGGTTCACGTCAACACCAAATAACCAGGATCCAAGAAGGTGGAGGGGAGATTGGGGTTCACGTCAATACCAAATAGCCAGGATCCAAGAAGGTGGAGGGGAGATTGGGGTTCACGGCAACACCAAATAACCAGGATCCAAGAAGGTGGAGGGGAGATTGGGGTTCACGTCAACACCAAATAGCCAGGATCCAAGAAGGTGGAGGGGAGATTGGGGTTCACGTCAACACCAAATAGCCAGGATCCAAGAAGGTGGAGGGGAGATTGGGGTTCACTTCAACACCAAATAACCAGGATCCAAGAAGGTGGAGGGGAGATTGTGGTTCATGTCAAACAACCATTTTGTAGTCTAATTAGCTTTGTTTGTATACATTAGTATACAATACCTCGAAAGTTCTTGTAACGGAAGGAATAACAAAAATTAAATAAACAAGAGAAAATATCGAGAGCACCTGTAACATCATCTGTTTATGTTATACATATAATTTTGTTATACATATAAACTACATTTCCTCTTTGGTTAAACTTCTGCCATTATCAAAGATCATAAAAGTGATGGCGTATGCTAGACACCATCATAAAAATGGAAGGTAGGAGAAAAAAAAACAAAATGCTGCAATAACGGCTTCTTCAAAATCATTTTAACATTGAGACTGAAGAAAAAGTCCTTGTAAGACCTCTATTTCGTCAGCCAAATACGGTATTAACGTTCAATATAAAGTACACGGAGCAAGCCTATTTTTTCACACCTAACGATTTCAAAAATATACGAGTATATTACATGCACGAGTAGTTCGTAGTATCTTGTCTGGGTTAAGAGTTTCCGAAGATAAAAGTTTATCAATGAACAAAATATCGCTTTTATACACAACTTATGAAATAAACATTTGTTAAAGTAAAACATGTGATAGATCACAGCTTGGTTGACATTTTGACAAGATAAAAACGATACAATCAGCTTCATGCCTCTATACATAAGTGATGGTCCAGAGATCAATTGTCATTTCCACGTCAGTTCTTAAGCAGGCGTAAATCTCGTACACCGTGAATATTTTTAAATAATGAAGTTAAAATCAGGACAGGAAGGGATCTTATCAGTGATTTACTATAAACAGATCGACAGGCTTTGTATAGTTCTCACAAACTCAATACAAATATGCAAAGAGATGCTTCACTGTTACTTCTCTGATGCCATTAATTTTGAAAGGGCAAGTCCATCACAGGTCTTGTCACAAGATTGTAACATATGGTAAAATAATATGGGAAAGCCCGAGATATCGCTGTCACTTCTCCTAACACTTGCCCTTCCCATTTGCAAGGAAAATTTTGAAACGTGCAATTAACTATCAGTTTCCTTGTTTGTGATCGACATGCCGGTGCAGGCGACCAGTTTGCAGATGACTCAACCTGAAGTCTGTTTCAACATGTTATAAATGGAAAACCTTTTATCACGTATAGAAAAACATTTCTGTACAGGTAGTTACATTAGAGGTATATCACTGTACAGGTAGTTACATAGAAACATAGAAACATTTCTGTACAGGTAGTTACATTAGAGGTATCACGTATAGAAACATTTCTGTACAGGTAGTTACATTAGAGGTATCACGTATAGAAACATTTCTGTACAGGTAGTTACATTAGAGGTATCACGTATAGAAACATTTCTGTACAGGTAGTTACATTAAAGGTATCACGTATAGAAACATTTCTGTACAGGTAGTTACATTAGAGGTATCACGTATAGAAACATTTCAGTACAGGTAGTTACATTAGAGGTATCACGTATAGAAACATTTCTGTACAGGTAGTTACATTAGAGGTATCACGTATAGAAACATTTCTGTACAGGTAGTTACATTAGAGGTATCACGTATAGAAACATTTCTGTACAGGTAGTTACATTAGAGGTATCACGTATAGAAACATTTCTGTACAGGTAGTTACATTAGAGGTATCACGTATAGAAACATTTCTGTACAGGTAGTTACATTAGAGGTATCACGTATAGAAACATTTCTGTACAGGTAGTTACATTAGAGGTATCACGTATAGAAACATTTCTGTACAGGTAGTTACATTAGAGGTATCACGTATATCACGTATAGAAACATTTCTGTACAGGTAGTTACATTAAAGGTATCACGTATAGAAACATTTCTGTACAGGTAGTTACATTAGAGGTATCACGTATAGAAACATTTCTGTACAGGTAGTTACATTAGAGGTATAGAAACATTTCTGTACAGGTAGTTACATTAGAGGTATCACGTATAGAAACATTTCTGTACAGGTAGTTACATTAGAGGTATCACGTATAGAAACATTTCTGTACAGGTAGTTACATTAGAGGTATCACGTATAGAAACATTTCTGTACAGGTAGTTACATTAGAGGTATCACGTATAGAAACATTTCTGTACAGGTAGTTACAAACATTTCACGTATAGAAACATTTCTGTACAGGTAGTTACATTAGAGGTATCACGTATAGAAACATTTCTGTACAGGTAGTTACATTAGAGGTATCACGTATAGAAACATTTCTGTACAGGTAGTTACATTAGAGGTATCACGTATAGAAACATTTCTGTACAGGTAGTTACATTAGAGGTATCACGTATAGAAACATTTCTGTACAGGTAGTTACATTAGAGGTATCACGTATAGAAACATTTCTGTACAGGTAGTAGGTAGTTACATTAAAGGTATCACGTATAGAAACATTTCTGTACAGGTAGTTACATTAGAGGTATCACGTATAGAAACATTTCTGTACAGGTAGTTACATTAGAGGTATCACGTATAGAAACATTTCTGTACAGGTAGTTACATTACAGGTATCACGTATAGAAACATTTCTGTACAGGTAGTTACATTAAAGGTATCACGTATAGAAACATTTCTGTACAGGTAGTTACATTAGAGGTATCACGTATAGAAACATTTCTGTACAGGTAGTTACATTAGAGTATTGTCTAATGACCAGGTATTCACACAAAGGTAAACTGTAACACTTGTACAATTGTGAACCCGTGTATTTATCAGTTTATGTGGACTCTGTGAATGCTTTATTTACTCTGTGATTTTCATGTAAATAAGTTGAAGCATCGAATTTTGATTTTGTTGCTATTTACTGACTATGGCGGATGTAAATGTAGCCGCAAGTTGCGACAATACGGATATATCAGTAAGTGTAATTGACGGCAATCACACCCCTCGTTACACAACCCTCACTAACGTGGTGCTACCCGACATGCTAATTAGCCCATGGCAAAATGGACAACGCGAAAACGTCATCTGTGATGCTGATGATAGTGACTGGGATGATACCCAAACCAGCACCTCGACTGAGAACAGTGCTAATACCCATAATACTAGTACAATGAAGTATTATATCACTGAAATTGAAAACATTAAAAATCAACCACGAACAATAGTAATTGACTACATCCGAAAATTAACCAGAGACAATGTCACGGACTTAGAGATGATCAGGAATGAACTTTATCAGAAAGCCGTAGCGCGTGATGATTTCCCCGTGAAAGATGGTTATCTGAGACGACGAATTGAAACGCGAAAATGGGGTCAAACTGTACCTGCGTCCTTGCAGAAAAAATTATCGAAAGACTGCTTTACTTTGTTGCTTGCATGTGACGGTGAATTTTCTGATGATATCGCAGAAGTTGTACCCACAAAGAAAAAGCGAATCGGTAGCGTAAACGCACCTTTTCAAAAATCACAGACACAATCTGACGATGTAGCTGGTGTACATGTGTTGACCGAAACTGTGGTCGCGATACAACGAGAGATCCTCGAATTGAAAACAAACTATAATGAACAGATAGATGAACTGAAAAGCACAATGAAGAAACTTTTGAAAGAAAAAGAAGGTGCCCAAAATAGAGCTAAAAAGTTTCAGGCGGAGATAAAGACATTGAAAAATCAGTTAGAAAATTGTGAGAAAGAGAACGGAACAATTAAAAGTAAATTAGAACAAATAGAAAAGGAGACACAACAGAAAATCGAAACCATAAGACAAGAAAACAACAAGTTGGAGATAAATGTTAACAACAATAAGGAAGACATTAATGAGCAAGACAATTTAATTCAAAAACTTGGTGTAAATATAGAAAAGAAAATTAACATATTGAAATCTGATATTTCTGGAACTAAGGAGAAAATGACAGACTGTCTAAATATCGCACAAAGATATGATAACGAACAACAAAACGGTGTGGCGAGTCTTAAATACCAAATAAGGCTTACAAATCAGAAAATGAAGCAACAAGATACGGAGTACAAAGACTTAGAAGAAGCGATAGAACATTTAAAATTGTCGACATCAACTCTACAAAAACAATTAAACGATCTCAAAAAGAGGGTTTCAAAGGACCACAAAGACGCCCAACGAACAGTTACGACACAAGGCAAGTCGAGGGACAACAAAGCAACA